GTCCGGGCTCGGGTTTAGTGGCGAAACCGGCCCGCTGGACGTGGGTAGGAGACACAGGGCGGGCACCGCCGAGAGGTGCTGCTGCAGCCCGAGCCTACCTGTAGCCTCTGCTAGGCTTTTCTCGTCCTCGTGCCCTCCGTGCTTCCAGTGCTAATCGGTAGCTTTACAGAACCCTGCCTAAAAGGGTGTACGGTGAACTAAACCGCAGAACCTAGCCAGGACAGATACAAGAAAAATGTTCGAAAGTCTAACAAGGTCTTTGTCCCTAGTGTCACTATCATCCCGTTGGGTTTTTTTTCTCATCATCTGTTGTGCAACCTTTCAAGTGTATAAGCCATCTCTTGCTGATGTAACCAGCATATCCTGTGCTCTTTCCCATGGGCGACTAGCCTTAGAGTTCAGTATAGGTTCAAACTAAACAACCCTTCCTTTGCCCCTGATTTTTATTTTACTTATACAGGAGAAAATTTATGCAACTTGTTGAGCTTTCAGAGATAGGAAGAGGTAGAGAGGGAAGGACAATTTCCATTTCTTTAAACCTGGCTTTTGTGGCTCTAGTTTCCTAATAGGGTGGCCATCTCTCTATCCCTGAGAAATCTACTACTGCTGTAGTGGTGGTTTTACTAGTTACCACCCTCTCAGACCTGTGAGGAAAGAAGTGCAGATGGTGGGAAAGGGGTGGTTCGTGGGATACTTCTACTTTCACACAAAATTCGAGGAACTAGCAGCGGGTGTGTTTGTGGACAGGTCTTTCTCCTTGCTCTTTTAACCTGATGAGCACCTTGGCCTTCTGCAGCATCACAGTAATTTTTAGCATGTGTAATTGTTATTTTAATCACATTGATATTCCTGAAACAGACTTGTGCAGCGAACAAGATGCATGTGACTGGCCTTCATTTTTGTAAACACAAACATTTTTGTTGCTGTGGTTCTTTGTATGGATTCATTAATAGGCTTTCTCTGCTATCTTTGTTCTGGGGTGGAGGGGTAAGCATGTTATGACTGAAGAAGGTGAGCTTGAGTCTCTACAAGTGGTCGCAGCTTCCTTTAGTAATACTGACTGTGTTGCCAAAGATGGTGACTGTCATAGGTAGGCTTGGTTTTGCCTCATTAGATGCACTTTGAGCAAGCATTATTTACTTCAAGAACACACTTCTTGTCCTTAAAGGTTAGTTCTAAATCTGTAGGTTTCTGTGCCTTTGGGGACTGACTACTGGATGTCTTCCGGTGCGGATGCCCATCCTTTTGGAAACTTGGCATGTGTACCGATTGCTGTGGTGTCATGAACTTGCTCTTCCAAGGCACTTTCTGGAGAAATCTTTGTTCACATATCTTCTTCCCTGCATGTTTATGTGTTCTTTGCCTCAACAGATGGGAACTGCTCAAAACAGCAGTGACCTCCGTGCAGTGGAGCTTGGCCTGTGTAACAAGAGCATGATGTCGGACACAAGGTTCGATCACAGCGTTGTTTCTGTTGGAGAAGAGGAAGGAGTGGGCCATTTCCAACGTTCTGTTCCAACACAAGAGTCCCTCCGATCTCCTCGTGGCTCCGTTGTGAGTTTCCATAACATCCAGTACTCCGTTAAGCAGTCCAGTGGATTCCTTTGTAAACGGAAAATCGTGGAAAAGAAGATCCTTCACAATGTTAAGTAAGTGTTTGCTTAAATGGAATACTAGAGGGTAGGAATTAATCTGCTGCTGTGAACCAGTGACCTCGTGTCACCTTCCAGATCCAGCTGTGCTGGTACAGAAATGACTGCCCTCCTGCCAGTCAGCAGTTCTTGTAAGCACTTTGATTTGCTTTTAGGCAAAATAGCTGGGTTATAGCTGAAGCAGTTTCAGTTATTGATCTGAGCAAATTAGGACCAAACTTGTGTGAACTCTTCTGCCAGAAGATCTGAGGGTTCTCTTAACTATGGTTCAAGGTGCAGTCAGAGGAAATGAGCAACAGAGAGCAGTTGTTGCTTCTTTTCAAGACCCTGCTGTCCAGGGAAGACAATCTGTTTTATGTAGATTGCTTTTTATGTCCAGTTCTCATTCTGTTCTGACTGGCAGTCTGGGACAGAAAGGAAGAATGCTTATTGATTTCAGATTTAAGAAGTTTTTAATCTCTGAGGTTTTTCTTTCAGTAACATTTTGTTCACATCTCACATCTACTAAAATCTGCAAATGTGTGGTCCTTGTAAATGTCCTTATTTGTTAACAACTCTTTCCTTCTTCCAGTGGCATTATGAAACCAGGCTTGAATGCTATCCTGGGGCCAACAGGGAGTGGAAAATCTTCGTGAGTACCTTCTGCTCCTTTAAGTGGACAATCAGCTTTTCAAAGTATTTTTGGGATTCTGAGGGTTAGGGGAGATGTGAGGTATCTGCACGCTTAGACCTTTGCATGCCTTTGAGAGATCTGGTGATGCAGCTTGACCTCCTGTCCCTCTGTCAGCCTTGCTGAAGTTCTTGCACCATGACTGTGTCACACGCCTCATCTGCTCCAGTTGGTGCTCCATATTACTGCAGTCATCTTTGATGGTGGCCCAAGTTAAGGAGAACTGGGGTGTTTGGAGCTCAGATGTAGGCTCTGTCCCACTGTGGGGATGGGCACAAGCTCCCCTGAGGCGTGGAAGATGTCACCCCCTCTGAACTCTCTGCAGCAAGATTTCCTTGAAGCTGCTAGGCCAGACCCTTCTGTGACAACTGACAGTAGTATGGTGTAATGCAGTCTGTGGGATGCTCTGGATCCTTACCCCAACTTGGCTGTGGCCTGCTGGTGGGGGTGCACACATTCTGAGTTGTTTGGATGAAGGCACAGAGAAATGCCATGTAGACTGTTTCCATCCAGTGCTAATGCTGTTTTCTCTCCTGTGGTAAGAGAGCTCTTTTGTCACACTCTGACTTTAAGAATGTCAGACACTTGGAAATATGGCCAGGGTTCACAAAGGCCTGTCTTTGTGGTGACCATTGATCTTCTTTTCTAAGGAGACTGCTGGTTAATCAGCATGCTTTCAAGAGCAGCACTTCATCAGGGCAGTTTACTTATCTGGCAGACAGGCTGGCCTCTGCACTGGCAGTAAGGAGAATCCAGTGATACGTTAAAAAAAATTACTTTCTAGAATTAATCTTAACTCCTGTCTTTACACTCATATGGACTAATTTCCTTGAGATAAGAGGAGTTAGTTCAGTTCTCCCCTGGCTGGAGAGCAGCCTGCAGCGACTCAGCAGGGTGCTTTTGTCTCTGTGCATTTGAGGTTATCTGTAAATACTCAGACCAAGTTTATGTCTGTAGGAGGTTGACTGTTGTGAATTGTGAGCGTCTGTACACTGCCATACTGCTGTGGCACACCGTGTGCTGGAAAATCCTGGATGGACACCAGACTTTGTGTACAAAGAGCTAAAGCATGCAGAGTAGGGGAAGCCCCTTCCTGTGCCCTCTGGTTTGCAGCACACTGTGAGCAGGCTGTAACTCAGTCCTGGCTGGTGGTACTTAACCAGTCAAGGGTAAAAGCAGCAGTTATTGCAAAACCTAATGCCTGGTGTTTGTCTGAAGTCTCCTAGATGTGCTGGCTGCCAGAAAGGACCCAGCAGGTCTGTCTGGAGAAGTGCTTATAGATGGCATCCCACAACCTCCAAATTTCAAGTGCATCTCAGGATATGTTGTGCAGGTGAGTAACTGCCTTCCTGGGGGCCTGGGAGATCTTGGGATGGAAGACCACATAAGAGGAGGAAGCATCAACCACTAGTTTAGGTAATTTTTAGTGATCCCTACAGAGCCTAATTTGATAACTCAGCTGTTACAGTTTTTAGTTTTAATCTGGGATATGGAAGACAATAAGATCAAACTCTTACTCCAGCCTAGTCAAGAACAGAAGTGTGTCTTTCCTCTAGCCACATGGATGCCCAAATTGCTGGGCTACTGTGACTTGGCCTTTGGGCTCGGCCCTGAAGTGCTAGCAAAGATTTTTAAAAAAAGGAGAAAAAAAACATGACACCCAAAATCTCTTGTTGTTAAACTCAGAAGCCGTTCTAGCTGGCAGAAGTAGCTTCAAACTATCAGACAATAATTCTAGGAAATAAATAGATCCCTGCTGTTCTTCCTCTGATTCTAGCTGGCTGTGACAGAGGTCCATTCCACTCGGAGACAGGAAAAGCCAGCTGAATCTACGGAAGTGGGTGGAGGCCTGGACCAATAATAGACCCTCAAAGCCCTGGGGAGCTTGGGGAAGAAGGGGATTCTTGGCAGTTGTATAAGAAGCCAAATCAGGAAACCATCCAAGGTTTTGACTGCAGGCAGATGTGACACAGGCAGCTGAAAGCTGCCAGCTGGGAGGCTCTGCAGGATCCATGGGATGAGACTGATGCTAAATCTTGGTCCTGCAGGTCAGAGATCCCCAAATCCTCAGTGGCTGGTGAAAAGCCCGTAAGTTTCTCACAAGTGGTTCCAGTTTGAGACCTTTGTCTCTCAAATGTCCAGAGCAACCAAACATAACTTTAAAATGATAAGCAACTTGGTCAAATGTTAAATGGTCTCTCCCCCTTCCTACCCCATGCAGTACTCCCTGGATCAGTAAAATGGACCGAAAACTATGAACAACATTTAAGTCCTAAATACATAATTATAGGATCATTTTTATGCAGAGAAGCATATAGGCATGCTAAGTCATATGTTATCCCTATAAAACTGCTGGTGGTCTCTCCATTCATGCTGAGAGTGAAGGTGTCATGCCACTGTTGGTTATGTTTGGTATTAAGTTAAATTCACAGTTCAGTTTCCAGTGGAGTGACTCAGCAGTTCTGTTGGTGGATCTGAGAGTGGAGAATGGGAGGCCGGGGTCAGAGACTGAGGGGCTGTGGGAAGGGAGGTTTGAAATGCCTAAACCATCTTTGGCAGCGAAGCAGCACATTCTTGTGTTCCTCTGTTAACTCCAGTGCCAAACATGGTTGACTGGTAGATCATGTGTGCTAGTGATGCACTACATCTGATGTGGGCAGAGTCCCAAAGCAGGCAAGAATCTGCTGCCCTGGAGCTTAGGGAATGTCTTCCAAAGATGGCTGATGTAAAAGGCATCTTTCTTAGCAGCTACCCAGTGTTGCAGCCCTTTTTTCATCATATTGTAGGATACAGAATTGGTGCAAATACCAAAGTGGGGGTGATGGAGACGCATGGAGCTCTGAATGGACCTGATGACAAATCTCTTATTTGGCTCATGGTTGTTGCACGTTGCTGTAGGATGCCCATGTCTGTCAGCTGGATAGATTTGATTCTCCCTTAAAGGGCATGTGACTGTTAAAGCTTTTGTAGCCCTTAGAAGAAAGGTTTAGGTCCAAGAGTTGTACATAGCTGAGGCATGGCAGGAGTGTCTTGGTGCAATTTCTTCTCTGAGAAACTGCTTCCAGTGAGGAGCTGGGGAAAGCTCATTGTTGGCAGCTGAACTCAGCAGGTGCTCTGGACCACAACGAGGTATGGCTTGTAACTGGGAACAGAGCTGACCAGGGTGGTTCCC